CCCGGGGCCCGGAGGGGACAGCGCGACACTCGCACGGCCCTACCCGGGCATGGACAGCACCGTCCGGAGGTAATCCCGGGAGGCTTCACGGGGACAGAGCCCTGCTGTCACCCTCTGGCCGTCGGTGGAGCTGAGCGCCGTGTGCCGCACTGGGGTGTCGCACATGGGCGTGAGGAATGGTTTGGGTTGGAAGGGACCGTGAAGATCAGCTGGTTCCTGCTGCCATGGCAGGGACACCTTCCACTGTCCCAGCTGCTCCAAGCCCTATCCAACCTGGCCTCGGACACTTCAGGGATCCAGGGGCTTTCTCTGGGTACCCTGTGCCAGGGCCTCCCACCCTCCCAGAGAATGATTCCTTCCCAATAACCAAACCTAAATTTCCTCTCTTTCAGTGTGGAGCCATTCCCCCTTGTCCTGTCACTCCAGTTCCTGATCCTCTCCTGCTTCCCTGCAGCCCCTTCAGGCACTGGAAGGTGCTGTGGGGTCTGCACACAGCCTTCTCCAGGCTGAGCATCCCTAATTTTCTGACCCTGTCCCCATAGAGAAGGTTTCCCAATCCCTTTTTCAGCTTCCTGGCCCTCAGTCACTCTCCCCAGAGCCCACTCAGACACCTGACAGGAGGCTGGAGCCAGCTTCACTTCTCCCAACTAACCAGAACAGAGGCAGCAGCCTCAGCTTGCACCAAGACAGGTTTTAGACTGGATATTAGGAAGGATTTCTTCACTGAAAGGTCAGGCAGAGGCTGCTCAGGGCAGCAGTGGAATCACCATCCCTGGAAGTGTTCAAAAACCACGTAGATGTGGTATTTACAGTTTAACAGTGGACCTGGCAGTGCTGAATTCATGGTTGGACTCAATGATCTTGGAGGTCTTTTCCAGCCCTAGGGATTCTGTGATTCTCAAATGCTGGGAGGGCAGGACAGGACCACAGCCACCATCCCCTGCAGCAGGAGGCTGAGCACTCCTGTTGGAGACACGGGATACTTTGGGATGACTTCAGCCTGATTTGTTTATAAATTTAGAATTTGCCTCCAGAGCTCGCAACTTGGCATTTTTCACGAGACCTAAATATATTCCTTGAAGGCGTGAACTATTTCCATAATAAAGCCTTTTAGAATTGACTTGTGAAAACTCATTTAAAGCTGCATTTTGGCAGAGTGAGGGGAAGTGCTGACTGCAGTGGTAGAGCTTGTTCACAGTACAGAGGGAAGAGCTGAGAGGAAAGGAGTAGAGAAGGGCAGCTAAAACTTCCTTCTACTAACATCACCTTACAGGGCCCATTAAAGTTCCCGTTTCCAAGAGTTACACCACTTTTTCATGCTTGGGTTGGAATTTCCTCTATCCCATTTCTAGATCAGGCCAAACTTCTACAGTAAATTTTACCCAAGAGGTTTTTTTCTGGGTTTAAGAATAAAGCTGTGCTACAGATACAACTTAACCTTGAGAAACTTTTGCTTGGGTATGTTACAAATTTTTGGCAGGTAGTTTTTTGAAGTTCTCAGAATATTTGGGGGAAAAAAAATCAACCACATCAGAAGGTTTGAAGGAGAATTCAGGAAATTCAGGAAAGATTTCTTAAGCAGGAATTCCCTTAGATCTGGTCCATGAGAGGTGTGTTTAGCTCAAGACTGAACAAGATTTCCACTGAAATTACAAGTCCAGGCTGCTGCAGACCAGACCAGGGAGAGATACCTACAAAGAAAGCTGGCAGGCTGCGTCCCACAGATAAAGGAAAATGTAGGATTTAGGCTCTGTAGGTCTGAGGAAGCCCATAAAAAACCCATTCACTAAATATTATTGATTCAATTATTACAATATAATGTTTAAATATTGCAGGAACACCAGAAATCAACCATCCATGCCCACCTAGGACAGGATCTGTGCAGAGATACAGTAAATTATACACCCTGCAAAGTCCTTTCCTCACGTCCCTGTCCTGGTTTGGCCCAGGATGATCATTAGGAAGTTCAAGATGTGGGGGCTGTAAGAAAATCCAAGAGCACACACTTAAAAGTGCTGCCAGGAGCCGCAGACCCTGAGCCCAAGCCCCGGAGGCTCCTCGGAGCATTTGGTGCTGCTTGTGTCCAGCATCAGCGAGGCTGGAAGGAGGCTGGAGCCCTGAGGCAGTGACTGCAAGGGAAGGATGCTCAGGGCTGTTTCCAGTTGGGCTTTGGATTAATTCTTGTGGGTGGGTGTTGCTGTTGGACACAAAGAGTGTGGATTCAATGTGACAGGCAGAGAGATGATCAGGAGGTTTTTATTTCTGAACTTTTCAGCTTTTTTATAGGATGTTACGATGCAGGTTCAACATGATTGGTAAGGGGGACACCACCTCTCTTGTCCCATTGGTGAAACAAGAGAAAAACACACTCAGCACAGCTGTACAGAATTGTTTTGAGAAAAATGAAGTTATTTACAAAACTGGTCCTTGAGAGAAAATGTTCTCAAGAGATTTCTCCTTGGGAACAGATCAGCCACTGACAGGCTGGGAACTCTCTCAAACTCAGAAAATCAGGTCCACAGGTGGAGACACAAACACGCACAGAAACCTGTTTCAGTGTTTAGTCATCCTTACAGTAAAATAGATTTTCTTGTGTTTAAACCAAATTTCCTGTGTTTCAGTTTGGGCCCTTTGTCCCTTTTCCTGTCACTGGGCACAGCTGAGAAGAGGCTTCTCCAGCCTGAGCAATCCCAACTCCATCAGCCTCTCCCAGAGGGGCAGATGCTCCACCCAAGACAGTGGAATTACATCAGTTTTTCCCCCAAATTCCAGTATATTACATTATAGGATCAGAAGTGATTTGACCATCCACAAAAATTAACAGATCTATACTAACCTCCTGCTGAACATATGGATTTGAACTACTCTAGCTCCTCTGTCAGCAAAATGGCTGTTTTTAATGGAGGCAATAGGAAATATCATGAAATAATGCAAAGGAAACAATGCATTGCAACGCAGTGAGAATGGCATTGGGGTTTTCCACCTTTATCTGGTAATTACCAACTTGAGGGCTGTGTTGAAAAGCAAAGTGATGTCTTCCATAGCTTTCAAATGCATCCTGTGATCTAAAAACCAAATAATTTTCATCCATGTCAACACTGGCAATGAATATCCTGCTTAGCCAAAATATTACATTAATGACACCTAAGCTGATGCTCTGACTTCAGAGAGGTCTTAAGCAACACTTCACAAACATGGTGATGTGAAATCTCCAGAGTCACCTGTGCAAACCCATGGGAACTGGAGTTGCATCATGAAAAAATAAGGTTGCAGATAAGGCCACCTGCTTGTTCCACACCTCTACTCAGTTCAACTCAGAGAGTTTAATATATTAACTTTTTTTGGGTATGCCTGAATACTCTTCATGGTAACAAACCTGAGGGGTAAGGAGGGGAATCCTCTTCCTTCTTGTGCATTGCTCCCACTGTAAAACACCTTTCCTGTAGCTGCAAATCTCTTGGTAACTAACCAGAGCTCAACTCTGCTGGAGATATTCCATGTGACCCAAAGAACCCAGCTCAGCAGGGCCAGCACTCCAGCACTGGCACCAGGAAACACTTTCCCCCCAAAAGCCTTCTAGTTCTGAGTGCCAGAAGCAAGAACCTGTGAAAAATGAGCAGATGCTGCTTTTACCTTTTGCCTCTTCAGGGTGGAAGCACATTTTAAGCAACGTTTTTCAGTGGCACCATCTGAGAATTTTGGCAGTGGTGGAGAGAGATGAGCAGAGAGATATCCAAAGCCTCCCTTGGAATTACATCCAGTAACTTCCATTTCCTCCACAAGACTGAACCAACCCTGTGACTACTTGGGGTCAGTGTGGCCTGTTTCAGTTTGAAAATACTTATTTTCAAAATCCCTCTCTCACAAACAAACAAAGAGACTACCAGGAGTAAATTTACTTTGCAGGATGCATCATGGCAAAAAATAGATGTCTGAAGTTGCCGGCAAGATCCCAAAAGTGAACATTCTGTAGGGACAACATTAAAGCAAGCCCAAGTGAGTATGAGAAATCAGAGTAACACACAGATTTTCTTACAGAGCCAATTCAGAGCCTGACATTTCCGCCCACACAGCACAGCTCAGTGACAGGCAATAAGACACAGCAGCAATATGAGCAACATGAGACTCCAGAGGAATAAACAATATATTTCTTCTGTCAACAAAAATATATGCCTCTCTTTATTCCTTTCATAAGTCTCACACAATTATTAATGCACTGGGTTTGTGTGGCAGGGTGGCTGCAGGGGTGGCTTCTGTGAGAAGCTGCTGGAAGCTTCCCCCATGTCCTACAGAGCGGCTCCAAGGGGGCAACACCTCTGGAAAACAGATTTAAGAATGGGGGTAAAACTGCACAGCTGCAGGAAGGAGAGAGGAGTGAGAATATGTGAGAGGAGCAGCTCTGCAGACAGCCAGGATGGGGGAGAAGGAGGGGAAGGAGATGTTCCAGGTGCCAGAGCTGAGATTCCCCTGAAGCCTAAGGTGAAGTCTAAGTAAAGCTGAGCCAAGGAAGAAAGGAGGGTAACAGGTCTTGAGTATAAACATTTCACTGTATTGCAAATTCTGCAGCTTGTAAACAAAACATCAGTCACAGCACAGTTCAGCCTCTCCCCACTTCAAGCCTGAACACATAAATCAACTTCTCTTCAATGTTAATGAATATTATTCTACTCACTTGCTCCTTGATCTATGAAACACTTATTGTCTCACTTCATAAAATACATTTCCTGCACACCAAGCATTTTTCTCTATAACGTTCCCGCTCATTAGTATAAGAACAGTATTTTATCTGTTTTCATGTATTGAAAATCTGGGACCAGGCTTTCAATGAAAGCACTGGAAAATGTGTGAATGGGAAGTAGGGGTTACTAAAAAGAGAAACAACAAAAACTGAGTGAGGACAAAGGACTTTCAGGAAGTCACAATAGTCATGACAGGGCAATGCTAGGAGTAACATCATCCACCTCAGACAGTTCTACCATAATATCATGTTTGTTTCTCAAACATTCACCTGAGTTCCTGTCAAAATTAGTCCAATACAGCAGGGAAAACCAGTACAGTGTTCTTTTCCTTGGGAGATAACAGACAACTTAGCACCATACCCAAAATTTTTTACCCTTTCTGTAGCTGAAGGAATTTAAATACAAGGAGGTGTAAAAAGTGACCAAGTCTGTTCTAAGCTGGGTTTAACTACTCGCAGTCACTGCTGGGAGGAGTTCATCCATTCCACAGTTCCTGTCACACACAGTAGGAACCAGAAAACAATCATACAGCAGAACAGGGAAAACACTAAAAGCTGTGTTAGTTTATTATTCACTTCAAAATACAGGAGATTACAAAGATTCTGGAAGAGAGGGAACATTTGTCAGTGTCATCCTGAGCCTTCCTGCACAGCTCTTTCAATCTGCCTCTGTTCCCCCTCAAACAGAACTGCCAGGAGTGCAATAAATCTCTCACATTCCCAGCTTGGAGGGATCCTGTCATGACCTCCGGGAGATGACACAAATCAGATTTGTTCACAGCCCAACCCAGCAACATCCACAGCTCAGCTGAGCCCCTCGGGTGAGACAGAAATGTGGAGTCCAAATTTAGAGAAAGAAGAAGAGATCCTCTCTTAATCTGCTCCACATATTGAGCACAAGAAATGTGATAAAAGAGGTGCCACAGTCACTGGGAGGTCAAAGCACTCAGCATCTTCCAGGAGGTGATCACCCTCCCTGGATCAAGGCATATTCATTTTTTCCTTAGGGGCCTGCATAACTTTTCTCCCAACAAAATGAAACTGCAGCTACCCACATTAATTTTCCCTAGGCTGAAGCTTTCAAATGTGAATTTTTCTGCCTCAGATCAGAGGGTCCTGATGCCGTCAGTAACGAGTGAGAAACTTCCTGTGAATATTTATTAAAAATCCACTGTGGCTTAATATACTTCAATAAAACTTGCTCTTTTCCTCATAAAGTAAAATTCCTCTTAAACCATAAGTTCTCCTGCTGCTTCAGTTTGCTGGAAAGTCCATGATGTTAAACCCATCCATGGCTGCTTCGGTTTTTATGCAAATTCCAACCATCAGAGTTATATAAGGGCTTATGCAATGAAAAGAAATCTAATACACCAACCTGCCCATGTCACTGAGAGTTATTTACAAGAGCTATAATCCAAAGTTCTGGTTTGCTTTATATTTAAGGGCCTATTGCACAGGCAAAATGTCATATATGCCCAAAATTTGCTTTCAGTCACTTTCCCCTCCCAAAGAAAAAGAAAACTACAATTCAACTGCCTGCTGAAGGCTATTCCTTAGTCAGAGTCCATGCAAAATTGTATTAGAAGCTTTGAAGTTAAAACATGAACATTGACTACCAGGGAGGGCCCTAAAGACAAAGACATTTACTGGATGTAAATGTTTAGTGAAGACAAAGGTCACCTTCTACTTTCTCAAAATCAAACCATGTTGGAAACTCTACATCCTGCTTTCAAGTTTTGCTTCAGAGCTGAAATCTTTTCATGGAAGGAATCAGCAGTGAAACATTATTAACCTTGGTGATTGATTATGTTGTAATGGCCAAGTTATGATAACCTCAGAGGCTATGGGACTGCAGAGCCTCAGCTGGTGGGACACAGGAATCTGATTCATCCCAGCTCCAGAGCAGATGGGGCACGAGCAGAGGAGGAGCTGCTGGGCAAGCCAAGCCCTCACCCTGCAGGAAATAAGGTTTTATCTCAATTGGTGGCTTTGGACCAAATCAAGCAGGAAACAAACCCTTTTGAAAATGCCCACAAACTGGAAATTCCCAGAAAGGTCACTTCAGAAATATCAAAACACTTCCAGAACACCATTCCCAAGTTCCCAAGGCTGCAGCTGATCAGTGACATCGTCTCTGGCAGCAGCAGCAGCAGCATCTGCACACAGCAGCTCCACACAGTAGCTGTGGGAGCTGCCGAAGCTCCCTGGCTCCTGTGCAGAGGATGCTGAGGACACCCTGGGAATGCTGCCCAGAGCCACAGCTCCACTGCAGGGAGTGCAGGAGCTCCAGCAGCCCGGCCTCAGCCAAGCTCCCAGTGCTTCCAGACACAGAAATCACTGTGCAGTTCAGGCTCCCAGCATTTCCCTGCTTTCAGCTTTGGAAGGGGTAGCCCAAGGCCACCAGCTGGAGCCCCCAAGCCCTGGAGAGAGAGCTCCAAGGCAGAGTTGCCTGGGTTGAGCTGCTCCAGGAACCAGGCAAGAACTCTTCAAATGGGGTGACTTCAACCTAAACATGTCAGGATGTGCCATTTCCAGCTCAACTTTGATCAATTAATCTCCAGCTAGCATGGAACAGTGATACAAACCCCAAAGGCTTTACTCTCCACTGCTTACCTTTATCCAAAGTCATTTGTATTTATGACAGGGAAAAGAGTTTATCCAGAGCAGCTTTTGGATCAAGAGATAAGCATCTGACAGCATTATTTACAGATAAGAGAAATTCAGCAGCAATGCCTTTGGCTACTCTCTGTGCCCTGGCTGCTCCCTTCCACCTCTGTACCACGAAGAGCCTCCTCAGATCTCCTGGCAACTGTTCACAGCTGAGATGAAGAAATGTCAAACTTTGAGAATAAGCTGGAGTTTGTGTTCAGTATAGAAAAGTAAATTATCTACTGAGAGCAAGGCAAAGACAAAGTGTGACCTCTGTATTTGCACATCTGCTTCAGTTCACACTCCAAGGGAGATTTGTTATTAAAAACTTCAGGTAACTGATCTGCATTTTGAAGAATGTGAAGGAAAAGCTGCCCAGGAGCCACAGCAGGAGAGTGGGACACTTGCTCTTGGTTCTGCAGTGAAGATTAAGGTCTTCAGAGAAGAATCAGTTCTTTTCTGCATTTCTACTCTGTGATCCAGTGCCCTGAAGGTCCCTTATTTACTTTTCACTCCTTTTAACAGAGGGTTTCAATGAAGTTTTTCATGTTTCTCCAACCTTTTTTCTCCTTGTTGAGCACATTACTTACTTGGAACACGTGAGATATTTTAATGCAACACTGCAATTACATTTCTTTTGCATTTTACACTTAAATGATCACATGGATTAAAAAAGGAATGCACAGAGGTCTGAGTGGATGGGGATGGTGGTCTGGTTTGCAGAGCTTGAGCTGGGGTCTTCTCCAGGCCCTTTTTTCGGCAGTTTAACTATTCTGGTGACCCTTGTTCCCAACTGTACCTTTGAAATCTGGTCACTACAGCAGAAAGCCGAACTTCATCACCCAAGAAGTCAAAAACTGAACCTGAATCAGAATTTTTTCCCCACTGCAACAGCTGTTCTGGCCTAGAGCGATTTGAAAAAGTAAAAGCCTTTCAAAGTACTGCCAAATGAAAGTTCTTGATTAGTAGATCCCAACCAATTAATTATCCCATCATTACCACACAGATCCTTTAGACTGAAGGAGGTACATAGGGATGATTTAGAGCCATACTTACCTTTTATAATTCATTTTAAAACAGTCTCACAGACAGAGGTCTGTTTTTATCCAAAGAATCTTAATGTGTTGGCTAAACTTAATGAAGAGATTTAGGTTAATGCACCTCATCCATCCTGTTAAAGTAGCAATTATGCATCTGGAAGAAAAGTGTTTCCAGGGCCCCTGAAGTCCGTGCCAGTAAAGCACCAACTGCAGCTGCAGTTCACGAGAAAAGAAGAACAACAACTCTACAATTTACAAACCAGGTTTATAGACTAAATATTCCCAATGCAGACATTTCATTGATAGAACTGTGGAGACAGGGAGATCATCTCATTTAGTAAAAAAAAAACCTCAACCACCCCAAAATCTCACATGTGTCTCTAAACACGTGTTTTGAAAATACCAAAGAACTGTGACATTTTTGCTCTGCCAGAAAAATGATCACATCTTGATTGAATACTTTTCCTTCCCATTTCCTTTTCCAAGCTGAAATGTCAACTATTTTAAGTAAAATCCGAATATTACCCAACCACAAAGCAGAAGAGAACCTTGATGCCGCAGCTGTCCCTGAAAAGGCACATTCCAGTTCCACACTTGCAGTTTCACCAGGAAGAAAACAGAGATGAAACCTTTTCAAGTGCTTTGCTGCCTAATGACACAATCACCAGCATGTTATTAAAGCTCAACACCCTGACACTGCAGT